TCAAAAATATCTCAACTTCAAGAGGCCATAGAAAGGAAATTCGAACTAACTTTGCAAAACCCTTTGGCATTTTTGTTTATCCAGTGGTCTACTTTCATTCCACGTTGGAATTATTGAGGCTGACGGCGATGTGTCAAAATTTGTCTCACAGTGTTATCTAAGACATATGATATAAAAATAGAAAATAACTATTATTTACAGATTATTTAGATAAAAATCAAACATAATTGTTATTTTGGATTTGTAAAAAAAAAATATAAAAAAATAGTAAAATAAAAATAAAAGCATTTTATTATAGCACACTTTTATAAATGGAATAAAAAGTAGAAAATAATATTTCTCAGTCCCATAGAATTTGTTTTGATACCTTTTGATTTTGAAATTTTGCGAAAGGCATTAAAAACGATTTATGAGAATGGAAACGAAAAACGTGGAGCGCATGCAATACAAAGCATTAGACTTAATTGACGTGAGTCAAACTACATAACATAGACTACACATACATACATATATTCTTTTTCATATCAATTCAAGTCTATTACATGCATCGTATATACTTACAAGTATGAAATCCTATGCCCCTTTTTGTCTATTATCTTTCTAACAGCGGACGGGCCTGCCAAACTGAAAAGCATGATGGCGGCAGTGTTTGACAGGCATGTTCGACGATGCGAACGGCAATGGAAGGTAAGAAATGGAAGATGGGTGACATTAGAATGAAAGAATTATGAAATAGCAGAATGTCGAACCAAAACGAATTTCAAAAATCTGACAATGCGAATGACGTCAAAATGAAAGAAATGCAAAATGGCGAGATGTCGAAACAGAAGAAATAGATGACAGGCAGGTGTTCAAGGGTTTCGTGCAACAAAAATAGTTGTTGTGTTGCGCCATTCAATATCAAAAGATTTAAATGTGGTTAAATAGCCTTTTTATTAAGTTGGAAAAACTACATATTTCGCCAGCCAAAAAGTGTATAAATAAATATATAGCATCTTGCTATAAGATTTATTTATAAAACCGGTATATGCTTATGGCCTTATTCATACAAAATAAAATAGATTTAAAGAGCTCTATACGGTAACATTAAAATATAGATTTATTTACTTTTTAAGAATTTTGGTATAACATTTAACTTAACTTTTTTGTGCACCCATCTCTTTCTCTTTTTATTAGCCCAAATTTTTCTTTTCCTTAATACTCATTTGCCTGAGTTTCAATTACACCCAGTAAAAATCATGATAAAAACATTAGAAAGTAACACCATTCTCTCAATTCAAACATTTTTGCATTGTTTGCAAACATTATAAAATCATATAAAATTTAAAATAAAAAAATGAAATTGTTCACAATTGTTGTTTGAGGTTAAAAATTAGAATGTGTGTGCGAGCTTGAGTTCGAATTTTAAAATTATATTGCGGCAAACGTCAGACTGTCTCTTAATGATTTTACCTTATAATGTTTTTATCATGGTA